GGGCGGCCGGACCTGACGGACGAGGCTGAGGTGAAGCAGTACCTGGAGGACCTGGGCACGGAGTACAGCTACCAGTGCCACCGCGAGAAAGACCCGGACGGTGCGGAGCGGGTGAGCGGGGTGGGGGGGTCTGTGGCTGTGACCGTGACCGTGACGGTGACCTTGCCCCCCGCAGGCTGCCACCGCCTGGCCGACTACCTGGAGAGCATCCGCAAGGACTTCGCGAGCGCCGCCGCGGTGCTGCGGGACAACTGCGAGCGGGGCCACGGCGACAGCTGCTACAAGCTGGGCACCTACCACGTCATCGGCAAGGGTGAGCCAGGCCCTGCCCCGTCACCGCTCCCCTTCCCCACAGGTTTGCTGCCTGCAAGGCCCTGGGCCAGTACACCTGTGCAACAGCCCCTAGTGCCCTTTTGCTGCATCAGATCAGTCCTGGCAGTTCATGTCGGGAACATGTGATCTTTGTTCTGTTCGTGGTGTTGCAGACCCCACTAAGCAGGACAGCTTTGCACAGTACGTGTAAAGATTAGTCCAGCCCAGGCCTTTGCAGGTAGCCGAAGACAGCATCTTTTGGGGGATGAAGAAAGGTGAAAAATGTAGTTGTTCGTGGATCAGAAACTAGCAAAACTGTAAGCAGTGCAGCACTAAATGGTTATACATTGGTACTACATCACTTTTTGTAGGATTTACCTTTGTAAAAAGGCAACACTGGTGCCTCCTCCCTGTTGCATAAGGACTTCACTACCACACTTCTGATCACCTGTGGCAAGTCTCCACAACCAGTAGGATGGAAAGTAAATAATCTCTAGTTGTCACTGCATCAGAAACCATTTAATTACTTAGCAATTCTTAGTAAAGAGATGGAGCTTTTCCTTGCAGATCAATTGCTGGTCACTTTCCCTGAAAGAATAGTTAGCTAAACGCCAATCAAAGAAATTGGGTAGTTCTCATTGTGTATTCAGTGATGTGCCTGAAACAGATTTGTTTAGGTATTGAGAAACTTCTTTTGTTCCCTTCAACTTAAGTAGAACAGGTTCAAACCTAAAATAATAATGGGAATTATTAGTCACATATCAATTGTCTATGAAGTAGGAGAGATCTGGAAGAGATGGACACACCTGCTCTTCAGCAAACTAATATCTTTGACTGTCAGTAAAGGTGGTCACTTTCTCCTTGTATGAAATACATAAAGTGTTCTGAAACCCAGTTATCTAAACTGCCTTGTCTTTGGATAGATAGATAGATATGTGTATATATCTGTCCAAATCTTTTGGTTACTATGTGTGTGCACGTATACACACACACATATACATATAAGTTTAACAAAATGTACTCCTATCTGTCTGTCTGTCCATCTGTCTGTCTACCTGTCTATCTCTATGTGTGTGTGTCTGTATTGAACGAGTAAATTTTGTTAAACTTAATCTCTGCTTCAATGTTGTGCGTTCAGTAACACCGCCATGAGCATGTATAGACAAAGTCTCAGGCTTTTTCCAAGCAGATCTCCTCCTACTGTTTCTCCTGCTTTTTTTAAAAAAGTAGGAAAGAAGAAACTGCAAACCTTAGTAGTTTAAAGGCAGGAAACCTTGTCCATAGGTCTGTGAATGCTTCTACCAATTGAATCTCCAAAACTTCTGATGTTGGTAAGGAATGGGATACTTTATAACACCTCTATACCATACATCCCTACTGGAGACTAACTTGTATATACTGTTGAGAACTTTTTTTTTGTCTGGCATATTTATTTAGGTAATGTTATAAGCTATGTCTATGATAGCAGGATTTGCTGGTCCAGCTTTAGTGCAGAATAGACCTTGGTCTCTTTGGAACCATAAATCTTGATCATAACCTATGATGAAAGATTGGTCTTCAAAAAATAGAGACATCTGCTTTATACATTTTTTCTCTCTCTCTCAATTCCAGTATGTGCTGACAAACTTGACTTCTGTTTTATTCTTTTGGGATGGGGGCTGCAGGTGGTCTCTCCATAGATTTGAAAGCTGCCTACAACTGCTTTCTGAAGTCTTGTGAGAAAGATGGGAAGAAATCCATAAATGCGTGTCACAATGTTGGACTGCTGGCACATGACGGACGAATAAATGACGATAAACCTGACCTAGACGTTGCCAGAGACTACTACGATAAAGCCTGTAATGGCAGCTTTGCCCCTAGCTGCTTCAACCTTAGTGCAATTTACCTCCAAGGAGCCCCTGGGCTACCAAAGGATATGAACTTGGCTCTGAAATACTCTCTGAAAGCATGTGACTTGGGACATGTGTGGGCATGTGCCAATGCCAGTCGGATGTACAAACTGGGGGATGGGGTTGATAAAAATGATGACAAGGCAGAGGCTCTGAAAAAGAGGGCAAAAGACCTACATAAAGAACAGAAGGAAGCTGCAACATTAATATTTGGGGAGTAAATCAAATTAAACCATATTTTTCAGGACAGCATTTCTAAATGGAGCATAAACTTTGTCAGTGAATAATATGTAAACATAACTCATTCCGTCACAAGAGACAAGTACCTGTTTGCACTGGCAGGTACATGTTCTGTGGCTTCAACAGATACATGCACAACTTCAGAGGACAAATATTTAGGGCCAGGTTTACACAAGATTCAGCAAATGTCAAAGGTGCACTTCTATGTGCTCGTTTCCAGCTGAAATCTTCCACATGCAGAGTTGTGCTAGACCAAATTAGATTTTGAATGCACCATATTTTGTTTGTGCAAAATTATTTAAACATGGGCATGCAAATGGCCTAAAATATCAGTCATGCTTTCTGACTAATGCTTCCTTTGAAATGTAAGATGTTTGCACTCTTGGATGTTCCTTTTGGCCAAAACTAGGTACTTGGGTTTTGGTTTCTTATGCCATACTCCCTCCACTGATTCGGAAGTATCTGCCTTTAACTGAAGGTAGCATTTGCTGTCTCTTGAATTTCATTTCCATAGCTGTATTAAGACCTGCTGAATGACCCAGATAGATGATTTATTGCTAAAGTGAATAATACAATAAGAAAAGAAATGTCGCTGTTTAGAATTGTAACAAAAGGGATAAAAACGAGTTAGCATGGTGATGAGTGAAGACTTAAAATTTAGGAATCCATATACAGAATAAGCTTGGCTTCCTGAGTCAGCCAAATCTCACGTTGGTCTGAATGTCATTAAATGCCCTTTGTGTAAATGGTTTCTAATTGATTACAAATGACAAAGTATTGTGTTACAGAATGAGAATTATGTTTATTTTTAAAGTGTCCCATGCACGGGTGTGATCCAAGCAAGAAATTCCTTCTCAGACAAAATTTCAGCCTTCATCTGGGAGAGTGCTGAGTGAGACCATCAAGCTGTGACTGATAGGCTTGTCCTATACAAAATAAGTCAGTGAACTAGGGTGAAATATTCCTATATCTTACCACTAAGGAGTGCTTGTGCTCTTAAAACCACACAGTACTTTTTTTCACTTGAAAGCAAGAGGCATCAAGCTGGAATAATGTTATATGATGGAGTTGCAGTTAACTTGTTTTTCTATTAGGCGCCACCTTCAAACCTGTCATCTAGGCCCAACCCAAAGAGAATGGGCTGAAAGGCTTCCTGTCACTCTTGCCCTGTTGCCTAGTCCTAGCTTTGTCTGTACTTACCCTGCTCTTTGTCAGCAGACCCCAGGTACCACACCTCAGCTGCCCAAGTGCTTGCACGCTACAGTACTGTGGTGGTTCTACATGGTTTCACTTTGCAGCCATGCTGTCAGAGTGTGACGTGCACCCCAGAAAGAAATCAGCTCCAGAAGGGACCACAGTGGCCAGCAGAAAGCTTAGAGAGACAGCTTGCTTCTACTGGGAGCCTTCTTCCACTTGGCAGAGGAGGAGTAACTGCTGGCAGGAAGCAGGCGTGTGCTGAGTATGAACACACTCCTAAGTTCTGCCAGCAAAATCTGAGTGTAGACAAAGCTGCCCATTCTGCCTCATCGCAGCTCCTGCCCAGCCCTGCAATGCTTACGGTCTTGTTTGACCGTTTGCACTGCAAAGCCATGCTTATCGTGCTGCCTCGGATATATTGCAGTTTATGAAGAAAATGCATTCAGGAGCCTTTGATTTCCATTCCAGGACTGTGCTCTGAGTATTATCATTCTTAGTTGCATCATAGTAGCATTATCTAGAAATTTATAAGGAAGTGGGGGTTTTATCGTAGCAGACACTTTTATCATCCCCCTATTGTATAGCTAAGGAACTGGGACAGAGATTAAATGACCAAGGTTACGTGGGAAGTCAGTGGCAGAGGGAATTTAAACTGGATTTCTTAGATTCCAATCCAGCTCCTTAACCAGAGATGCAGTCCTGTCTGGGCATCTCCCAGCCTTTATTCTGTATGCTGTTTACAATCAAGCTGAAATGTGTTTCTCTCCCACTTTCCCACTCTCTGTCACGGATACCCTGGAGCAGATGGAATCCCTGCTGAAATCTTCAAGCAGGGTGGAAAGGAGCTTACAGCCACAGCTCCTTCCCCTCATCTTAAGGATCTGGAATGATGAGGAAACCCCAGATTACTTCAGGGATGCCATAATTATGATAGTCTTCAAGAAAGGAGACCGGTCCAACTGTGGAAATTACAGAGGGATCACCTTGCTGTTCACCATGGGAAAGATCATTGAGAGAACCCTCCTGAACGGTCTCCCTCCAGTTTCTGAAGAGCTGGTCCCAGAATCTCAGTGTGGATTTAGGGCATCAAGAGGCACAATTGACATGATCACTGCTCACCAGCTGCAGGAAAAATGCTGGAACAACATAAACCTCTCTACATGGCCTTCTTTGAGCTCACAAAAGCCTTTGACTGTCAACCGAGCAGCACTGTGGAGGATCTTTCTAAAGTATGGGTGCCTAACAAAATTCATCACCATTCTTTACCTGCTTCATGAAGGTATGTGAGCAGTGTTCTCAGTAATGGATCTATCGCAGATCCCTTTGAGGTTAAGATGGGAGTTAAGTGAAGCCATGTCATCAATTCAGCACTCTTATAGATATTCCTTACCGTGATGCTACATCTGACCACCACCAAGCTTCCAGTTGGAGCAGAGCTGAACTGCCAAATGAATGGCAAGCTGCTTAATCTCTGCCAATTTGGGGCCTTTATACATGCAACAAAATTGGCCTTTAAAGCGACTTAATTGCCCTTTTGCACCACTTTAACAGCGTTGCTATTTACACACTCGGTGGCGTATTCCGCTTTAATGGTGTTGCTATTTACACACTTGGCAGCATATTCTACTTGAAATGACTTTGTAACGTAGCAAGGTAAAATCCATCCAAGGTGTTTTAGTTTGCTACCTAACAAAGCTCGAAGGTGCATGGGGCGATGGAAGCTGATGTGCTCGGGGGAGCTTGTGCTTGGCAGGCTTCTAACACCCTCTCCCCGACACCTTCTTCCGCCGCCCCCCTGCTGCCTTGCTGCTCTGCCCCAGGGGCAAGCCAGCCATTCCCAGGCAGTGGGAAGGCTACGGGGATGGTGCATGGGGTGCTAGAGCTTATCTGCCTCTCCTGTGGCAGGGTTGGCGGGGGCAAGCTGCCAGCGGGATGAGTGGTCCCTGAGCTGTGGGGGACCCCGGTGCTTCCCTCTACAGTGGTGGCACCCCCCCCAGGCGGTATCCACCTGCTAGCACCCGACCCAGGTGGTCCCGGGAGCACTGCTACCGTGGATGGAAGCACCAAGGCCCCATGCAATTCGGGTTGTGACCTGGTGACAGCTTGTGCAGGCAGGTTCTATTGAAGAAAAAAAAATGGTGAGGAGCCTGATCTTTTTTTGTTTTCTAATTCAGTCGAACCTGCCTGCATGAGCAGATACCAGCAGAAGCCGAGGCAGGCTCTGGCTGTGACTCAGCAGGGCAGGGTGCCCAATGTGTGCATACACCCCACAGCTTTTATTACAACACCGACACCTGGCAGGGAGGGGAGCAGAGGAGAGGCCCGGAGGTGTGGGGAAGCCCCTGCGCCCAGAGGCAGTGGTGGCAGCGGCGGGAGTGTTTAAATGCCCACCCCCTGCTCACCCTTCGGGGTCGGTCATGCAAACACTCCTTTGAAATCTGTCATTCTTGATGGGCAATTGGCTAGTATTTAATAAAGCAATACAAACTGAGGAGGCATTTATTAGTAAGGAATAAGATAAAATGTACATTCTGTGGCAATAGATGGCAGTGTGGGTAAAACATTCTGATTTACACTAGAGTACAGAAACCCCACTATTTACAGGAACTGGTGATATAGGAATGGCAGCAAGTGATTTTTGTCTTACTGTAGCTAACACTTTTTTAGCCAATTAAAGAAAATAAAAGTAAGCATTATTTCAGGGTAAGCAAAACAACAGATTCATGACCAGATTCTGGTTTTCATCTTGTGTGTTCATTTATACCAGGGCAAAGTAGGTGTAAAATGCTACTTTTGGTGCCAGACTGGAGCATTTAGCCCTTTAAAAAAGGTCAAAGGCAGGGAAGAATTAGGCCCATCAACACAGAATCTTAAACCTTAAATCATCCTCTTCATTTCTTTGAGCAGACGGGCCCTGGTCATGGAAACCAGGTTGCTCAGATCTTTGACTCATCAACCAAATATCAGAGCTGCCTTGTTTGGTATACACTTTGTCCCAGTAGGATAACTGATTACAGAAGCTGTGCCTAAGGCTCACCGGCAACATAACCAAACATCTGTGGCTGACAGACTTGTATGGAGCATTCAGAGGTAACACTGAAACACATCGGTCCACCTTGTTTCAGTGCAGGACAGGTGGTATGGTTAATAAGACCATAAGAAGTGACTGTCAGCATTGTTTTGATTATCAAGAATCCTATTTGCTAACATGATCGGTGAAAGAGCCGTACTACGCACATGATTTACAGCCATCAGCATGCTCTTTCATGCTCTTCAGTACTTTTTAATACACTTATGTTACAAAGGCATGTAATTTAGCTTTTCTGGGAGAAAAATTACTGCTTCCACAATCACTACAGTTTTGTACAGTTAGTGTGACAGACATACCAGCATACATAGAGCAGTGTACCCAGTAATAAGGCAGAATTGGAAAGTTTTGGAAACTTGAGAGTCCTCCTAAGCCTATTGTCACACCAAGTCACACACACTAAGTCACACCAAGCTCTATAGCCAACAGCACACAAAGGAGCAATGTGGCTAGTATCACAGCTAACCACCTTTGACTCCCCAGCCCAGCCCAGCCCAGGTACCCATTTACCTATCTGGGTCAGCTGTGGGCAATCCTAAGTATGAGTCCAGAGCAGGAAGGACTTGAACTCCCAGCTCTAGATCCAGGGGGAGACATACTAACTGTTCTGCTCTGCTTTGCCACTATTTGTCCCTCCATTTAGTGGATTGGAGGATAAATAAAGGAATATGTCCAAAAACACTTGGTAAGTAACTCATTTTCTCTTTAGCTAATTAGGAGCCTAAGTCCCAATGGGTGTGTCTACACAAGACGCTTTACTGCACATTAAGCTAATCTAATGCTCAGTAAAGCGCCACCATTGACACATGCACAGGAATTACTGTGCGGTAAATTAGTTTAATGTGCAGTTTGCTAGTACCTGCAGGTACAGGTTCTAGATTAACTACACATTAGATACTGTGCAGTACCACATGTGTAGACACTGACCGGGAGCAAATTGCTCCCGGGAAGCAGGGGCCAGGGGAACTGTCCCGTCTCCCGGGCAGCTGCCTCCCAGCTCCATGCCCCAATCTGCATGGGGCAGAGGGCAGGAAGCTGTCCTGGTTCCCCGGATTTTCAGTGGTAGTGGTGGCAATCCCTCATGGTCAAGGATGATCACTCCCATGGGCCAAGTAAAGGGTAGTAGATGAATCTACCTTGATGGCTAAGAAGGCTGATCTTAGTGCCACAGACTGGCTGGCAGATGCCACAGGTGATGATTAAAGGGAGGGGCGGACCATTGATTTCTCAGTCTGGTTTCCTTTCCTTCTGTTTCTGTCATTTTTCTGCCTCCAAGGCAAGATGGTTTTCCTCAAAGTAAGATGTACCTTCTCTCACAAGGCTTCGCCATGTAGACCTGTCCCAGGTTAGTTTCTCCCAATTTGTGATGTCAATGCCATACTTTATGCTCATTTTGAGGGTGTCCTTGAAGCATTTCCTCCGGTCCCTGCATGTTATTTGTCCTTGAGCTGGGAGCATAGAAGTCGTTTTGGTAAATGTATATCAGGTATGTGCACACAGTGCCCTGTCCACCACAGCTGATGTTGAATAATCAATACTTCCGTACTGGTGGTGGTAGTGTCGGTGAGGACACCGGCATTTGTGCAATGATCTTCCGACTTTGTCAAGGATCCGCACACTTTATGACACAGCCACTGGCATTACGAGGAATTAGAAGTCATCAGCGTGGGTGGACAGAAATACACATCCCTTTCTGGGCTACAGTGGTAGGCTTGATTCTCCACTGCCCTCCAATTTACATGACCATTTCATCTGTCCAGTGAGGTTGTAACATTCCCAGAGCTGAGCTTGCTGCTCATGGTACTGGTTGCTGTGTTTTACTCCTTGGCACACATTTAATGACTATGATGAGAAAGGCAACAAAGAATGAAGTCCTATGTAAGCATGTGTGGGTTTATGTGCCATTCCCACATGTTAGGTTAGAACATAAGAACATAAAAAGTGCCATACTGGATTGGACTAATGGTCCATCTAGCCCAGTACCTGGTCTCTGACTGTGGAAGGAGTGGATGCTTTAGCACTGAACTGGATAGAACTAGAGTGATCTATCACCCTGTTCATTACCCTCTCTGGCATCCACCGTTATTGATTTAGAGATGCCAGAGGAAACATCTCCAACCGTTCTGTTCAACAGCTATTGATAGATCTATCATCCATGAATTTGTCTAGTCCCTTTTTTAAAACCGACTGTGCTCTCTGCCTCCATCACTTCCTGTGGCAACGAATTCCACAAGTTAACTACATGTTGCATAAAAAAGTACTTTCTTTTGTTAGTTTTAAACCTGTCTCCTGCTAATTTCAGAGGGTGCCCCTTGGTTCTAGTATTCTGGGACCTGAAAAATAACAATTCCCTGTTCATTTTGTCCACACTTGTCATGATTTTATAGACCTTTATCAAGTCCACTTTCAGCCTTCTCCTTTCCCAGTCTTTTACTCTTTCCTGGTATGGCAGCTACTCCATATCCCTGATAATTTTGGTTGCCCTTCTGTGTACCTTTTTGAGATGCAGAGACCAGAACTGTACACAATGTTGAGTACTTTTATGATGAAGTTTAATAGCCTTGGAAGAACAGAGACAGAGAACGTTTTAGGGAAAGCTGAAGCCATGAATTGTCAGAAGCATTTAAATAGATGAAGAAGTATTTACGGGGAGTGAAGAGGTAGGGAGGCGGTGGGTAGCAGCTGTGGCTCTGGCTTTAGCTCCAGCTCCAGCTCCAGCTCCAACCCTGCCTGGCCCCTGCTGCCTCACACTTGATTGTAAGGCAAGGGGCTTTTTTCCCCATGTTAAATGCGGGGGAAGCCTTGTCTTCTAATTGAGTAAATACAGTAAATATACTTGTACTTGTCTTAAAACTTCTAGCACTGCATTAATAGTGTCCCAAAGTCAACAGAATATAGATTCATCAAAAACTTTAAAGATGTAAAGATCTAACTCTGAATTAGAATTTAGTTCTTATCCTTTATCGTCAGTCCTCCAGTACTTCAATTTTTCAGTATCAGTTCTTGAAACAACAGCATCCAGTAATTACACCAATATTCAGAGCATATCCTATATGTCTGATCTGCTGTTATCCCCTTCCATTAAAATGCTAATTAGAATTACCAAGTGTACAACACTTCAAAATATGACCTTTTATTCTCCTTATGCCAGCAAGCATTTTGCTAACACTAGTAAGAAATTTGTAAGATGTGGCATTAGAAAATCAGGGGCATTCTGGAGTGGTGATGGGGATTTGTGAACAATTTAACAATCAGTTATATAGATATAATAAATATATATTTCCATACATATATATGAAAATTATAATCACATTTAATCCATGGGAAAAACTGATGGATAGTGCAGAAAACATATCCAGATGTTCTGTTTAGCAACTGCCAAGACTTTCTGTAAAAATAAAAAGGAAATCAAAAGAAAACTCTACATTTATATAGTGATTTTCATACCAAAGGGTTCCAAAGCACTTAAACTGAAATAAAAAATGAATGCTCAATAACTGTTTAATCAAAATACAACCACAAGTATTAAACAGGCCACTGCACATCAGGTTATGAAAGGCCATAAACTCTTGGCTACTACAAGAGAAAAAAAATCAGGTAATACGGGCATGGGTGTTACCCATTCTGGAAGTAAGGCGAACAGGCCTTAAAGAGAGGACAGAACCATGTGCTCAGTTTTCTGCCCAGCTGAAAAGACAACATCTCAGTGGCCCCCTTACTGGCCCCTTGCTGGATCCTTGGCTCTGAAATGACAGAGGATGTATCTACACAAGCCATTTACTGTGGAGTAGGCTAATTAGCTCTGCAGTAAACATCTTATGTCTACACGTGCAGCCCTATTAGGCCTCAGGAAACGAATAAAATCCGTGGCAGGGTAGTACTTGTAAATACAAGCACCATCCTACTGTGGAGTTTTTTACTCCATAGCAGTGCACAAGTAAACACTGACGCAGCTGGCTGGGGCACAAGGATGCTTCAGTGTGGGGACTGCCTGCTGGCTAGCTCTCCACTGGAGCGCCCTTGTGCCCCAGCCATCCCCTCCGCAGCACACCGAGCTGGGTCAGAGCAGCCCCAGGCTGGCAAGCTGAGCCCCCTGGGCCCCCTGCCACCTGGAGCTGCTCCAACCCAGCTCAACATGCTGCAGTCCCAGATGCATGTTCAAATGGTGTACATGATATGTGCCAGAGTTTATTGCTGCATGCTAATAGCATGTGTAGATGCTCCCAGAGGGAATATGCCAGGCTTGCACCAAAGCAAGCTCTCCTTGAATGGAGAGCCAAGGGCCATGTTTGTTTGGTATGAACAGGCCTCAGAATTAAGCATTATGTGTGTCTTGTCCCGCGGGCCTAGAACCCTTGGGCACGTGGTCTTTTACATGCCACTGTAATTTTAGAGCACAGAGATGTATCTACATTTTTTGCATGTGTGTTTAATTTTTTTTAATTTAAATCAATTCATCTTGAGCTTTTGAAAAGCATTCCATCACAGCTCCAAGAAATGCCCTGGGCTGATGAAACAGCCTGCATTCTTCCTAGTGGGATAGAGCTGCTCCAAGGATAAAAACAACACTTTCAGACACTTTTAAGATTACCCAAATACATGATTGGTAGGGCTTAGCTTTTCTACTGCAAGGGTTAGAGATATGCATCCTGGATTAAATTCCCGTATTCCTCTTCTCTGGATCCTTGATGCCCCAGCCAGCACCTCCGCAGCAAGCTGAGCTGGTTCAGAGCAGCCCCAGGCTTGATGATTCAGATGGTTGCAGAAGTGCATTATCTCAGATATGGCAAAGCAAGTTTGTTTCTTTTAATTCTCCTGTGACTAGAGACTTTCATAACAATATTTTGCATTTCTGTGGTGCCTCCTATCCAAGAAGCCTAAGGTGCTTTATGAAAGTCTCTGTGCACTTCTGGGAGGGAAATAAACATATAGATGGAGAAGCCAAGGCACCAAAATGTTCTCTCTCAAAGTCACATAACAGGTTAACCCAGGAGCCAGCTGTAAGAGTCTTACCTCCCAAACAGCTAGGATCACAAAGCTCCAGTCTCCCTGTTTGCCAGCCAGAAAACACTAAGAAAAATTGGTTTAGACTGATTTTTATGATATGTATGAGTGCCTTTGTGGGGAGATAACAGTCCAGGAGAGTTATTATTAGTAACCACTACACAGGATAAGAAAACTTCATGTGTGCAGTACTCTACAGTATAAGCAACTTTTTCTTTGCCGTGCTCTCATCAGATCATTTATTTTCCTTTAAAAGTCAGTTGTGTCTTGACAAGTGTTAATATTTTCTTCACTGCGCTATGGTGCTTATCTCCTTCTGAACATGATGTTTGGTTAAAGAAGTATACAGGAGTGACTTATCCTTAGCCTAGTTGGGAACAGAGTGAAACTGCGTCACTGCGACGTGCAGCTGAACCTCCATCTAGCCCCCAGGTCACTAGTACCTTAATGGGCTGAAAAGACTCTTGCCTTTAAAGAGAGAGATTGCAGCCAGGGATAAAGGTTCAAACTCTCTTTATATTAAATTTGTTCTGAAGTTCTTTTTCTGACCTTATAAATTTCCAGTGAGGATCAGAAGGAAGGGTATGATGGTAAGGAAAGAAAAGGAGTAAT